CTTATAAATATTAAACATTTGAGTAAATAATAAATATAAAAAACGAATCTAATGTATTTTACTAATGAATTTAGTTTGGTTGATTTTCTATTTCTCATTTAAGGGAAATATAAATAAATTTATAACTATATATAAAGACAAAGAGAGATACATCTATTTGATTTTTTTTCAATTTTGTTTTATTTTTTCAATTCAAATAATTATTAATAATAAAAAAATATTTTTGAATTGTTTCATTTTAATATCTATTTTTTAATCCAAATAATTGTTTATGATAAAAAAATCATTTACATAATACTACTTATAATATTTTTTTTTCAATAATTATAATTTATTTTAATTGTTACTGTATCTATATAGTTATGTATGTATAATTATATACAAAGCGCTCTGTTTACTTAGTATAATATGTTTTTGAAATATCACTTATACAACCATTTTAACTTTTTATTTCTCCTATACATCCAAGCATAGTGATTCAATAATAAATTACATTGATAAAAACATTAACAAAAAGTTGTAAGTTTAATCTTTCGGTAAGTTATTTGGTGTCTCAATTGGTCTTTATTTTTAAAAAATTGAAACAAATAGAGATTTGCCGGCAAATTGGATAAACATTGTTTAAGATACCCTTATGTGGCATGCTGATAGTATTTTTGCCTAAGCTAAACCTTCTCGTTTGGGCAAGATATGTAGAAAACTGAAACACAAGTTTTACTGATATATTCATTTTGTTATGATGCAATAGATGTTAAAGAAAGTTTGTGAATCAAAACTCAAATAACAATGTATTTGACTATCTTGAATGAATGAAGGTGTGTTATATTCAGTCTACTGTTTGGCTCTCTTGATAACTGTTTGAGGGTCGAATTTCATCAAAGTATACTATGTTGTGTAATCCATGAAAATGAGGTACCTTGCCTCAATACCAGCAATGATGTTAATGGTATATCAAAAAGTAGGAATCTTAATCAAGCCACGTAAGAGCCTCCTAAACAGTATTTCTCCAAACTAACGACAAGCCTCTATTTGTTTCAATTTTTCAAAAATAAGGACTCAATTGAGACACCGAATAACTAGGGGGCCTATTTGAGATTCTGGACGAGAAAAGGGACCTACAAAAACATTAAATCTGATACCATTAAATGTAACATCCCAAAAATACAGTGTAAAACCATATACGAGAATCATCACATATTAACAATACTCAGATCAGTTCTACACAAAACGAGATATTATTATGGCCGAACGACCTTAAATATTAACAATGAATTTAAAAACGTACGCTAGCTACTACTAGACTGAACGGTGTACAAAATAAATTATACCGAATTGTCTTACAACATATAAAGCTAATAACAGACCGAACGTCCCTAAGGTTCGATCTTCACTTTTGTCGCGTCCTCCAATACTTCTTCCAACAGCTCTTCTCCTTCTGCTCACATCCACATGGATGATCATTGCAACAGGACAACGACATGACGCACAACACAGAAAAAAATAATAAACAAGGTAAGTTTATGTAATTTAATTCATTCCATAACAACATATAACAACAATAATTAAATTAACAACACTCAGTTCATCAAGGCATGCAAAGGACGACCACTTGACTCTGACTGTCCAGACTATATGAATCCTGTGTAGCTACGACGTTCGTGCACCCGGGTGATGTAGTAACTGGAATACCCTCAACAGCTGTCACCCGAGGTTGATCCATTTCGTCCAAGTTAACCTTATGGACTAGGACCTCCTGCCATTCCCACACGTGACTTACTCTTCACTACATGAGAACGAGTAATCATGGAATATCAGGATAAATGCCCGCTAAGCTTTGCTCACATTCATACTTTACCAATCAATAACCACTTCCTGAGATATTCCTCCCTGGAATACTCGTTCATAATCACACTATTTCATTCACATCACATTTCAAATTCCCTTACACTTCATCATTAATGCATTCAACTGAAATACAATTGCACTCTCTCATCATGGCATAAATCCGACTGGAATAACACTTCTTAGAAACTAACATGACTGAGCGTTACTTATTAACTTAAATAAACAGACCACTAAGAGTTCAAAACGGACGTCACGAAGCCTAGGCCGAGTACTAAGACTCTAGGCCAACCACCTTTTAAAGACCAACACTGTTTGACACACAATACTAATATTGATGAGAAACTATGAAGTAACGGACGTTACTGAGTTTGAATGAAGATTCTCATTCTAAGAACAGTAATAATATATATTACAGAAAACAAGACCCAGCGCTTGGTTTAAGATCGAGCCCTGTAGAACCGAACGCTATAAAACGAACAATGACCCAAGACCAAGTGCTTATCAGGAACGAGCGTTACTGAGACTGAACGCTTGGTCGAAGACCGATCAGTGATAATTTACATAGAAAGAATGAATATATATATATATATATATATATATATATATATATATATATATATATAAACAATTACTCCACACTTAGTCTTACTGAAAAAGAACGATAACGCCCATGACCTTAAGTAGTATATAATACATGAACTAAACCGTTTATGAAACCTAAAGAAGGACTACACTTAAGCCGAACACTCATTATACATATCTATTATTATAACACGATCTCCACTAACGAAATTCCTTGTAGAAGAAGAACTTAATATAGACGGACGCTCAAAGGGAAACAAAATGGTTAATACGAACTCTCGGTCAAAGTTTAACTAATCCTATATAGTATTACATGAAGACTCTTAGACTCTATCCCCAAAACATGAGAACTCAGGTAAGACCAAGTACTTCCAAGAAGAACCGAACGCTCGTTAACCACTCTCGACCATACTACCACCTTTACTCAGAGTACCACAGTTTGAATATCAAGTCCTATCTCAAATCAATTCACAACATATATCAGTCATCCATACAAACATCCAAATAAGCAGTACGTACATATTTCATACTCATCCAATAATCCAAACAACATATCATGCAAACATACCAATGTTCAAACAAGAATATTAATCAAATTATATAAGCTTCTCTTACCTTTATACGTAACCGAACGCTCAATGAAGCATAATAGAGCTCCCCTCTACCAAAGAACTAACGTTCGACACTCCCGTTTTAGGAGCATTGGACCAAACAGAAAACCCAAAAACACTTATAATTATACTATCTACTCAGGCGACCAGAAATAGAGGGTCGCATGCAAGACTTAAACGAACGTACTAGAGAGAAAGAAACTCACCGGCTCAGAATCATAAACCGATCAGTTTAAATAGAAGCTCTTGTCGCCGGGAGTGTTCAGACGGTGCCTGAGAGGTGATCGAAAGAGGAAATGGTGAGGTTTTCTTAGAGAGGAGGAGGAGATTTTAGAGAGTAGGAGGAAAAAAGAGTTTCAGCAATTTGGAGAAGAAGAAAGGCATGCAGAGAGAAGTGGCACGTCATTTGAAATTTGGCCTTAAATACTGCTGTCACCCAAAACGAACGGCCACTCTCCTGCAGCCACCTGTTTTCCACTAACTGAGACACTCACTCTCTTCTTGGCACATGGATCCCACTACTTGGGGTTACCGAGCTGATCTTAGTATTGTCATGTTAAACCCCATATTGGTCAAGTTTGTTAAGTGTTTTGCCTTGCCGTGTTGCTACACTAGTTGAGTTGCCCTCCTGTCATGGTCATATTGTTAGAGGCTTTTTCAGGTTGTCTCCTACTCGTGGTGTTAAGGGTTTTTTAAAGTAATAATATTTGTATTTCCCTCCATCGAATAAGTAAATATAATCTTAAAGAGTTTTGATGCCACTTTGATAAGTCTTTCAAAAAGAAAATTCATCGAAGAGACAGAGTACCAATAAGACTTCAACCCAATCCATGTAAAGGATTGACATCACCTATAACCTAAAACCTTAAAACAATAAATTTATAATTTTATAAAGTGTTAAGCTTTCTCATCGTTATCCAATACGTGGTTTATGTAAACATAGATTCTCCAACACAAATCATATTAAAAATTGAAAATAACTACCACAACAAAAGATTAACTTGCACCACTGTACAAAGGTGATTCACCCTTTTAGTGTTCATATTTTGTTTTTTTAATTTGTCACGTAATAACTATTTTTAAAATTAAAATAATTAATTTATTAATTTTACGTAACTTTTGTTTGTTTGATTGTTTTTTAAAACTAAATAACTGTTTTAAAATTAAAATAATTAATTTATTAATTTTACCTAACTTTTTGTTTGATTGATTGTTTTTTAAAACTAAGTAACTTTCTTAAAATTAAAATAACTAATTATAGTAAAAATATTCCTACAAATATAAATAAAAAATTATTATTTTTATTATAAACTTGATTTATCTTTATTTTTATAGTTATAATTTTATTATTTTTTGTTATTATAAAAAAATAACCTCGTAAACATAATTCACGTGTTTTCAACAGTATATCATAATATTATTTTCAATAAAATAATCAATGCACACAATAATGTTTAAAAAATATTAAAATATAGAAACTATTTAGATATTTCTAAAACAAAATGATACAATACAACTATCCTCTTTAAATAATCTAAATATAGTATTCAATATTAGAATATTTAATCAAACTTTAAATTGTTTTTTAAATACAATATGACAAATTAAATATTGTTTTTTTTATTAGAATTATTTATCATACTATATACAATATCAAGTAAAATATATTACTAATAAAACTAAAGTAATAATAATATATAAAACAAATTATAAAAATGCTTTATTAATGTTATAATTAATATAGCTCAAATATTTTTTCTAATTTAATATTTCAAAATTAATATCAATGTCCAATTTCAATATAAATATGCAAAAGAAAAAAATTGATCGGGTTTGAAACTAGTTCAATTTAAACAAGCTTTCGTGTTAAAAGTTTATTAACAAATAACCTTAATTAAGAAGAAAAACCTCACGAGTGTGTTTTTATTTTCAAGTTCTTTGACATTGTTGTATAGTATTATTTCTTGTTTTGTTGCTTTCGTGTATCAGTTGCCGCCACCATGCCTTCAGTGCATCGGGGAAACTTCCCCAATCGTCAAACGCAATTTTCCGCTCGGTACTCTCGTAGACCCTGTTAGGGTTTCAGAATCACTTCAGAACAAAAAAGTAAATACTAACTTTTCAATTTGTGATTCAATATTTGTTATATGTTCCTATGCAGGAGGCAGAAGATAATGCAACAGAAGAAGTCCCTTCCGATTGCTTCAGGTATTTATCTATTGCCTTAATCTTTTAGGTGTTAATACTTTCAATTTCAACTTGTGGCAATGTGTAATAATTAGAATAATTACAGAATGAGAGTATCAGTGTTGACATTGTTTATATTTGTTGTAGTTGAGAAAAGACTGGTTGAAGAGGTTCGGAAGAACGATGTGTTGATTATTGTTGGTGAAACTGGAAGTGGAAAGACTACTCGTAGGTTACATTTATTCTTGTCGAGTGCTTATCACAGTGTTTAATCTAGGTTTTCAGGATAAATGGTTTTAGGATAGTGGATTTCACAATGTTATGTTGTTCTGTGTAGAGATTCCACAGTTTCTGCTTGATGCTGGATTGTGCCGCGATGGAAGGGTTATTGGGATAACACAACCTAGACGTGTAGCTGCTGTCACTGTGGCAAAAAGAGTTGCTGAGGAGTGTGGTGTTGAGTTGGGTCAGAAGGTTGGGTATTCTGTTAGATTTGATGACACTACTTCTGGCTCAACAAGGATCAAGTACATGACAGACGGTTTGCTTTTGAGGTACTCATTTTGAATAGCATGAATTGCTTTTTTGTCTTTTCCCTAAAGTTTAACCTTATAAGACTTGATCAATCAAAACAGAGTCTTTTGATTTTTCTTCTTCCTGGTATAAAAAACAGAAGATATTATACTTAGGTGAAAATTTTCCTTTTTTCTTTTTATCTGTGTGAAGTTGGTGGGATTCCAGGATTTGCGATTTGGTTTACCATCCCCCTCTTACTGAGATGGGATTGTGGAATTAATATGGTTATATGTTTGGAGCTGCTAAAAAAGGTTTTGAATTAAAGTATTTTGTTTCCCATGATTTTATGAGAATAGCAGTGTTGATATGCATTCTATTGTGCTTACAGGGAAGCATTGTTGGATCCATATCTTTCTAAGTATTCTGTTATAATTGTTGACGAGGCACATGAGAGGACTGTTCACACTGATGTCTTGATGGGTTTGCTAAAGAAGGTACAACTAGCCCGGTCAAGTTCTGTCAGTGATGGTCAAGGCCTTATTTTTGGAAAAAAGAATTTCAAGAAAGTTATGATGTCAGAGAAAGAAAATGATCAGAGTGGCCGTTTTCATAAGATGCCCCGCCATGAGAAGTATGCACCATTGAAGTTAATCATCATGTCTGCAAGTCTTGATGCTCGGGCTTTCTCTGAATACTTTGGTGGTGCGAAAGCTGTTCACATCCAAGGGAGACAGTTTCCTGTTGATATATTTTATACTCGCATTGCAGAGACAGATTATTTGGATGCTTCCTTGATAACAATATTCCAGGTTTTTGGTTTATTTAGTCCATGTATTTCAATATACTGTGATTTAAATTTTATTTTATTGTTAGATAGAGATTTTTGGATCCCAGACAGTGCATTAGTCTTGGTGCATTGGTTCTGTGTATGCATTTTTTATTTATTAACAGTTTCAATATATCATGGTCATCCTGTTGTATTCTTTCTTTGGTTATGGTATTTGTGGTGCATGTTTAAAGTTGTCATGATGAATGGAAAATAAAGTTCATGTAATTGCTGCTTAAACTTAAATTCATATATGTCTTTGATTATATAGATTCATTTAGAGGAGGGTCCTGGTGATATACTAGTATTTCTGACTGGGCAAGAAGAGATTGAATCTGTTGAAAGGCTTATCAATGAGAAACTCCCACAATTACCTCAAGAAAATCAGAAGCTTCTAATTGTACCTATATTTGCCGCTCTTCCATCTGAGCAGCAGATGCGGGTCTTTGCACCAGCTCCATCTGGGTTTCGCAAGGTACACTAGCCACATGTTTGATCTAATTAATATATGCTGATGGTAGAATTAAATAAAATGGGGAAAATTTTTTGATTACTTATTTCTAAAACTATTTTATTTTATTTTGAAGCAGTTGTATTTCCTGTTGAAACACCTTCATTTTCTCTGATTATGTTGACAAATTTAAAGTAAATGCTGGTTATTATTGAGTTCCAGTAGGTTTAGGACATGCGCACATGATTTTAGATTGCATTTTTAAATATGCAACTTTCATGGAAGTTGTTTTGCACACATGATTTGTGTATTGATCATTCATAATTGATTAGCATGAGCAAGCAAACAACACTATGCACTCTGAACATGATCCAGCTCCTGTGTTTCCCGTTTATGCAGTAATGTCATCTTCTTGCAACATTGTCATTTACTGCTTCTCTTATTTTTACCACAATCCACTTTTACTAGCAGTCACACTGACCGTGAAGTAGTTGTGTTTACCAACCAACAATATGCATTACTGAACCCATCACCTTACAATTGCATCCACTGCAACTACTGTCATCTTAGTCATCACCTCTACTACTGCTGATGCTTTATTTCTCTCAACTAACACTGTTACTGTTTTAGAAAATAAGTCAATTGCCATGCTATAGTTCCTACAGATAATACATTGAAGAGTTTGTAATTTTGAACTTGAGCACCACCTATATAATGCAAACTTATATAGAGTTAGAATAAACTCTTGAGATTTATATCTTATCAGGTTATTACCTTTTTTAGCTGTATTATACTTATCTCTTTGTTGTTTTTGAAGGTGATATTGGCAACTAATATCGCTGAGACATCAGTAACAATTCCCGGAATCAAATATGTAATTGATCCTGGATTTGTTAAAGCACGTTCCTATGACCCTGGAAAAGGCATGGAATCCTTGATTATAGTGCCTACATCCAAGTCCCAGGCTCTGCAAAGAAGGTGGTGCTAGATTATGTTTGAGTCTGTTTAATGCTTAATTGTGGCTTGTAAATAATGGTTGAATTAATTCGATTAGTGGAAATGAAGTTTGACTCAATTTGACTGAGGATGACTTCCTTTCGTATTTTCGGTTGAGTTTTGTAATTGAGATCCCTGGTTTTCTTGAGGGAAACACGGTATTGCATGACAAGGACTTTTTAGATGTGAATCTACCATCAATTTTTCTAGTATTTATTATTTATTTGAAATTAGTATGCTTGCATGTGCTTGACTGCTTTAAATTTTGTTTATTGGTTAAAGCGGAAGATAATAAACCTTTCAATATATCTTATAGGAAAAGAATAAACCTGTAATGTAAAGTATCATTTTTCCCTTTCATGAAATATTTTAATTTCTGAATATTTTTATTTTATACAATTGCTCATTCTTGAATTATGACTTATTTTATGTTTTCCGTGATTAAATCTTGTTTTGGTTGTTTTGAAATCATTGGTATGTTTTCATAGTTAATTTCAGCTAAAATTATCTTCATGAATTTAATATATATTTGATGAATTTTACTTGAATAGAAGTACAAATTGATTACTAACATTGCCTATTTGGGTATTAGTGGGCGTGCAGGGCGTGAAGGACCTGGAAAATGCTTCCGTCTATATCCTGAAAAAGAATTTGACAAACTTGAGGACTCAACAATGCCAGAGATTAAGCGGTGCAACCTTTCTAATGTTATTTTGCAGCTTAAGGCTCTGGGTGTCGATGACATACTAGGGTTTGATTTTATTGAGAAACCTTCAAGGTAGGAGAACCTTCCAGAATTTTGGTCTGGCAGTTTCCCTACATTTGCATGTTTGGATATTTATGTGATTCCATGTTTTGAGTTGATAAATTCTCTTTATCTTGAAAAATTAAGTTATTAAAGGAGTAGCTACATATTATTCATATATCAAAATGATACGAAGGTATGACATTTAAACCAAAAATTAATAAAATGTTACGTATATTATTGCCTCTACTTTTGGGAATATATTCATCCACTAAATAAGCAATGCAGAAGAATCCAGGGACCACATCTACAAGAACCCATTACATGGACCATGATCAACAGAACCATATGTCTGGATAGTTTTTAGTTTTAACCATTCTTATTTGTTAATTGAAGTATTTATTTTGTTTATATAGTATGGCAGCCATCATGCTATCCACTATCTTGCTATAGCAGTTTTGGGATCTTGCTGTATCAAATTGATAATTTTACTCCATGTATTTGTTTTCACTTATGATGTCCATTATGCATGTAACAATTGTACTGACCGACCACTTCTTTCTGACCAGATGTAATATAATACCGTATGAGGGATTTAGTGATCTACTATCTTGCATTGATCATTATTCATTCGTGAGTTGAAATGCTTCTGATGATGTCACATACATTGTTCTCCAGAAATAACGTAGCATTTTTTGGGGATCTTTGTAGCTATAATTTTTAAAAGTATTTTGACCTGGCAAAATGTTACTCAAAGCTTGTGCTTATCCCTTGTTGGAACAGGGCAGCTATTACAAAATCATTGGAGGAGCTATTTTTGTTGGGTGCCCTAACAGATGAATGTCTACTATCTGATCCTGTAGGACATCAAATGGCTCGACTGCCCTTGGATCCCATTTATTCCAAAGCGCTTATTTTAGCTAGTGAGTTTAACTGCTTGGAGGAGATGTTGATAACTGTAGCTCTGCTGTCTGTGGAATCCATATTTTATACTCCTCGTGACAAGTTAGAAGAGGTTTGAGGACTGAACTCCAACTGTATTCCTATTATATTCTATTTTGATGTTATGATGAAACATAACATAAAGATGGTCAGTGATTATATATATAGTACTAGTGTATCTCTCTATTAACTATTTAACAAAATATTTATGAATATCATATTTTACTGATTTTAACGTACGAAGTTGACTGACTATGTGAAGGTTTTGGTCTTCATATATTTTCATATACTTCTGTTCCCTCTTAGTATTTATCTAAAATTATTTTGTTTACTGGTTTCTCTCATATTTTACCAGGCAAGAACTGCAACTAAATGCTTCTCAAGTCCAGAGGGAGACCACATCACTTTGATTAATGTGTATCGAGCATCTAATGATTTCTTGGAGAAGAGATCAATGGAGATGGGTATAGCAAAGACGGAAAAGGTTTTTAGAAAATGGTGCAAAGAAAATTATATTAATAGCCGGTCTCTTAGACATGCTCGTGACATTCACAAGTAATTTTATCATGTTAAGCTAAATATCGAGATTTCATGACATTTGTTTCTAATGTAATCTAGTCCAGACATTTATGCTTTCACATTTGCAAATTAATTTTTTTTCAGGCAGATTAAGGGACATGTTGAACAAATGGGTCTTAATCTTTCTTCTTGTGGAGATGATATGCTTCAATTCCGCAGATGCCTAGCTGCTTCATTTTTCCTCAATGCAGCTGTAAAGCAGCCAGAGGGGACATACAGGTATCTAATTCAAGTTAGAAATTCTTGGCTGTCCTGTCTTTGTGGCATGCTTTCAATTCCCTCTTGTAATTAGGTCAAACTCTGGTCTTTTAAGTTTGAAATTGTTTTTTGGAATTTTGACTCTAACTGGAATCCTTAACTGCATATGTAATTTATTTTGCTATTAGAGGTCTCTTATTGCTTAGTTGTATGGCAGGGCTTTGGCAAGTGGTCAGGTGGTGCAGATCCACCCTTCTTCTGTATTATTCCGGAAAAAACCAGAGTGTGTGATATTCAACGAATTGGTCCAAACTAATAACAAGTATGTCCGAAATTTAACAAGAGTTGATTACCTATGGTTAACCGAGTTGGCTCCCCAATATTATGCCATGCAGAATTAAATTCTTGGTGGTTCCACTAAACAGGTGATTCACATTACCAATACTTTAATCCTTTTTAGTTTGGGTCTGATTTTGTTTTGGTAGTTTAAATATTTTTATAATGTGCAAAATTGGTGGTTTAAATCCACAATTCTATGTAATCCCTTGTACTGTCTTCATTATTGGGGCTGGCCCCTATGCAATTTGGGATTTGAAGCACTGCATACATCTTTATTGTCTTCTACAAGTCTGTCTTAACCTATATTTCACCAAAATTGCTACTCACTTGTTCTTTTATTCCATAAGAAATTTTAGCAGAAAAAAACCAGAAAATGAAATAAGCTTCTCTATAAGCTAACATTAATTAATGAATAGGTTAAAAAATGAAGATTTGGGAAAGATATATACGAGAACTTGTACAAATTATGGAGAAGCTAATGTAGTTTTGGCTTCGTTTTTTTTCTTTCTTAGAAGTATTTATAGAGAAATTTGTCAAAGCAAATCCAAATTTTATAACTTGGCCTGTAAGTACCTCTGCCTACTGAAGCAGAAGTTAGTCAAACTCTTGATTACTTAAAGGGATACATAATGATAAATCATTCTCTTGTTCTAGCGTTGGTCTCCTTAGCTTATTTCTCTAAAATAACTAGTTTGATGTTTTTGATGAACACTGGGTTTGTCCCAGGTTCTTCAAAAGGTCCTACGTGTAAAATTCATAGGATTTGATAATAAGATCAAAGAGGCCAGAAAGCTGTCATTGTTCTTAGGCTGCATTTCGTTGGTGTATATGGTTGAAAAGAAATGCTAGAACCTTCTCAGCACAACATTCTGTTATAGAGTTCATTTGGTTCTGCTAGTTTTTCTGGTTCCTTTGAGTTTTTCATTGTCTTTTAATGATGTTTTTATCAGATCTTCGGTAAGATTGGCACGCCACATTAAATGTTGTGATCTCTTTTTTTTTTTCTCCACTTTAATTTGGTTTTGTGATCTTTAGTTCTTGAGAATTTCTTACACTTTTGTATCTTTCCTTATTTAGGTATGTGGATGTAACCAAATTCACCAGAGAATAGTTGCAATAGATACTTCCTTCTCATTTCTTATGCAATATTTAGAAATAAAGTTGATGTACTTCCGAACATTGTCATGGTTCTGCTTTCTGCATATAGACAAGACATTTGGGACATTGTTATTTGGTGTTGAGATATTAGATTTTTCATTTTGTAGGTTACATTATTGTCGGTTGGAACAGATCCATAGAAGCTCCTGATCTTGGCCCCCACACTTGATGGATCTTTTCATAATGACAGGTTTTAAGATTTAAGGGGATTGTCTTTGCCATTGCTTGGTATGTGGAGATGTCAATCATTCCTCTAACGGCAAGCACCTCTTGCTGGGTTGTTGTCAAGTTATTTTCTCCTGGGCCGCAATGGCCACTAAGATCGAGGAGCAAGTATGTCAACGTAGAGTGCACCTTACAGTGACCTCATTGTTGTGGTGGCTCCGGCATTGAAATTGTGTATAGACTATTTTATTTTATTCATGTTCATTTCTGCATCATTTTAAATTGCTCAATTTAAACTTGTACAATATGAATTGTATGATTAGCTGCCAAGTTCTTTGAAACCACTTATTTATATACACTGCACTTCAATTTCTAGAGGAGGGTTATTGGGTATGTTAGAATATTTATCCTATCTATCATGATTATATTATGTCTAGGGTTATCCTATTTATCATGATTATATTGTGTTTAGGATTATCCTATTTATCATGATTATATTGTGTATAGGTTACCTATCATGATTATATTGTGTCTAAGGTTACCCTAATTATCATGTACTCTTGTATCAATTTATTTTTATAAATAGAAGATTATTTTTATAAATAGAAGATTATGAGAGGGATCAAGCCCTCAAGAATTATTTATTTTCAATCTCAAGTTGGTATCAGAGCAGGTTGTCTGAGTCTCTTCCTACTCGGTCTTTGTTGCCGCCGGTGGCCAGCGTCGCCACCGGCGGCCTTAAAAATTTCATCTTTTCTTAAATACCTCAATGAGCAGTCATGTTTTGGTTTCTATCTAGTCTCTAAACCCTAGTTGCTGTCCGCAATCGTCTGGCACGGTTTGCCGTCTAGTGTCGTTTGCAGTTGCCTTGCATCGTTTGTCCTTGTCCACATGGTACTATTTTTCCACTATGAGGAATTGTCCACATACAATTTGTATGCTCCAGCTTGACACATACAATTTGTATGCTCTAGCTTGAGGGAAAGTGTTAGAATATTTACCCTATTTATCATGATTATATTATTATGTCTAGGCTTACTCTATTTATCATGATTATATTGTGTTTAGGATTATCATATTTATCATGATTATACTAGGTTATCCTATCATGATTATATTGTGTCTAAGGTTATCCTAATTATAATGTACTCTTTGTATCAATTTATTTTTATAAATAGAAGATTATGAGAGGGATCAAGCACTCAAGAATTATTTCTTTTCAATCTCAAGTGGGTATTTCTTTATGAGGGCTATTGTTATATTTTCTCCCCTCAGCAATATTTGAGGTTTACTAAAACGTATTACTGAGTACTCTTACTCTATAGGAAAGAAATTTCTTTTGTTTCAAACAGTATTATCAGTATTCTTACTCTATAGGAAAGAAATTTCTGTTGTTTCAAACATATCATTATTATCAGTATTATCAGTATACTCTATAGGAAAGAAATTTCTGTTGTTTCAAACAGTATTATCATTTGTTAGTTTTTCCTGTGTATGCCATGATAACCTGTGTCGCTTTCAAAACCTACGCATAACCACTGCACACAAGCTTGTGAATCAAGCTTTTAAGTTAAACACAAGTTTCGTAATGTTAGTTTGTCAGTTAATTTATGATTATTGTAGTTTATCCTAGTACTCGATAACTTTTTATTAAGACAAAGAATCTTTAAAATCAGTTTCTTATTACCTCTGCTTTCAATATAAAAGATAGCTACCTGGATTGTCGTGATGTGGTAATTTTAGGATTTGTTCGTTCATGGACATGATTCACACAATATTGTAGAAGATGAGAAAGATCATCGTGTGTGCCCGTGGCTGCCATCGGTAAGTTCACGTCAGAGTTTGATAGTATGAGAAAACGATCTATATGTATTTGATCTACAACATATAACAAACAATATAATAATGGAATACAATATTTATAACATTAAAACTACAATACATAATTTATAAAATCCATCTCTTAAAAATTTTTATGAGATGAAAGAAAAATATTAAATAAAAAAAATTAATGCAGATTGTGGGGGCGGGGAGCTGATGGACCCACTCTGCCTGACACTGGCTGTGGATTACGGCTTGTACACTTGTACAGGCTGACGTGTTTAAGGTCCAACTTACCTAGTACCTTTTATAGTAAATTATTGACTAACTCACAAAATTCACCAAGTCAAAAGTTAGTACAACAAATATTTGTTGCAATCAATAAGACTATAAAATGGGCACCTTAAACTGACTCAACCTGACGCTATAGGAAGTTAAACAATTTGACAGTCCAACCTGGCCTATATTTTAAAATAGGCCATAATTTTCGGCTACCCTAATCTTAAGTCCACATGACAATGAGCCATTTTAGTTCTAATTAAGCTTAAAAATTATTTCAACCTTTTAAAAAAAAAGCATGAAATAAAAGTTTATAACAGTAGACAAAAGTTCATATATAAAATTGTTTTCTCAAAGAGGTTAAACCAAAATAAGAGCTCTACTCGTATGGTAGAAAATCATACAAAAACATATTTATATTGGATCACTAAAATTAAATTATGTTTTGTTATCCTTCAAGGAATTCTTGAAGGGTCTAGGAGGTCAAAATAGGTCCGGCCTATGTATCTGATTCATGTGAGGTCAAACTTTAAAAGTAATAGGAGATTCTCATCTGCATTTTCAAATTTCATTACGATACCAAATACATCTTTTATATATATATATATATATATATATCTCTCTTATATACAT